CCCCAAAACCCCAAAACCCCAAAACCCCAAAACCCCTTTTAATCTTACTAAAATTGAATTATATTTGGAACAAACCTTTCTAAAGCATGAATGGGAGGTCAACATTCTTTGTACCATCTCCGATGTAGACTCCTCCAAAGATCTTTGATTTTAACTTGTGGTAGGCAAGATATCCTGGCCAAAGGAGCGACTTTATGATAACCTGGGATTTAGTAGTATCTGGCTGCACACTCCAACTTCCTTGGATTTCATCATCAGCGATAGATTCTAAGAAATCAGACCTGAAGATGGCATCATCTTTTTGGTTCAGATCTTTCTTATCTTTAATTTGAGCACTTCTGAAGTGGAGATAGGATTCTTCCAAAAATCCATTAGTGTGGTCTAGACCCTTGAAAGCTTCATTCTTTCTTACTTCATGGAGAGGTGTGAGTTTGACGCTTCCCATTGGGATCACTTGACAGTCATTCTCAATTGCTTTGACTACAAAAGCAAGTCTGTCTAGTTCAGTAAGGTTCTTGGGAGGTTCCTTGACTTCATCATCTTCGGACTCGGTGTCGAGATCCTTGTTATTTTCTTCTCCTTCTCCCTCAGGGTTTTCTTCAGCAGCTTGGTCACCTTCTCCTTCGCCAGCTGGGGTTTCCAAATTTTCTAAAATTTTTGTATGATCTCCAGTGAAGAAGTCGTTATATTTATTGATAAATTCATGATGCTGCTCAAGAGTCTCAGGAAGTTCAGCAAACTTGAAGTCATTGTTGGAGGCCCAATAGAACTTCTTCCCTGGGAACTCATATTTTCCTTCATAAAATACAGCAACTGCAATGAAATAGTCTGCCTTTAGGCCATTGATTCTTCCCCAGAAGAGGAGCTCATCGCACTCGATGGAATTGTTCAGATTAGTGAGGCCAATATCAAGTTGGATTCTATAGCATGCTAAACCAGGTCTAAATTACCTATCCATGACATTAATAGTGACTCCTGCTGGATTGAGGTACTTAACCCTGCTTTCGAGGTCAATGATATCCATGATTTAAAATTTTATAAAATTTTGAATAAATTTTATTTAAATTTATTGGGGTTTTGGGGTTTTGGGGTTTTGGGGTTTTGGGGTTTTGGGGTTTTGGGGTTTTGGGG